GCGCTTTAAAATTCTAAAAAATGGGTTTTTCTCCATATAAAAAAAAATAATAATTTTTTTCTTAAAAAGTAGGCCATATTTTACAAAATTGCTAATGTTCCGTATGAGTTGGAATTCATACGAAGTGTGAATGAACTCAATGAGGGTAAGTTGCAACCCTGCTTGGGAAAGAGAGTGTGTTTAGTTGTGCGAGTGAACGTAAAAAGGAGCGCTGAGCGTGCTTGGTGATGTTTGTGATATTAATAATAATAAAGGTTAGTTTTTCAGCTGTGGCTTTTCCAACTAAAGCAAATGTGTTTTTATTGATTTGGCTGGGCTACGAAACATTGGTCCTTTGAGCCGGATGTGGGCTCGGTTGTGCTTTTGATTTCTTGGGCGATTTCGTGGCATCGTGATTGATGCCTATGAGTGAGGGGGCTAGAAATATGCGTGCATATGTATGTGCGTGTGTATAGAATGTGCAAGTATACAGTCCATAAATTGCTAGAGCTAGTAATGGATGTGAGCTAGTGAGTTGATGAGCAACAGAGGTTTATGAATAGTTGTAGATGAGTCTACAGACGAAATCCTGGCAAGTTGTGAAATTGGTTGCTGGTAGCAAACATGAGAATGGTTGAGCGAATGGAGCAAGGGCAATGGGAATACACATGTGTATTGTATGCTATTTCTTGTGCTAGAGAGCAAGTGAATGAGCATGTGTATTGCAAAACGATTCCTTGTGCTTGAGAGCATGTGTTTGAGCGCATATACATATATGTGTTCAAACTACTTTTGGATGTAGAGTGCGAGGGCGATAGAACTATGTTACAAAGTCCTTTCATTTGCCATAGAGCAATTGAAAAGTTGCTAGAACCATAGTGTATACCAGAGAGCAGGAAAGTATGAGAGTATGGTGCAAGTACCAAGCACTGGTGGCTTGTGTATGTGAGAAGTGAAACTCATGTATACACGGGCAAGTCGAAGCTGCGCAGTATAGATGCGCAGAAGGCAAGTAGCTCGTCGGTGTGAGTATAAAATCTCATATATGTATGTAAGCGAGCTGAAGCGGAGCAAATCGGTGCGCAGAGTGCTAGTAGTGTGAACAGGTAGACTCATGGGCATACACATATATGTATATAAATGCCATATGTACAAATTAACGAGCTAGAGCGGTGCACTATAGAGTATAATATTCTAGAACTTTACACTGGTGTGTGTATGTAGCGGAATTCGATGCGAGGGTAGAAAAATACAAATAGCGTCATTGCTAAAGAGGTACTTGCGCAGTGAACATTAAAATTCGAAAGCAAAAGACTTAATAAAGCGACTTGATTATAAAATATAAAAAACTGACAATGGTAAAAGTGGAGCTACTTGTTGCGTGCGTGCGAGCAATTAAAAGGGCAGCGGCATATGTCCAGGATGAGGCATTTGCCTCTATAACTCATCAGGGTGCTAGTGCTAGGTTGGAGGCCTTGGAAGGGCGTGGTGAGCAGTGTTGCCGAGAGCAGCGATATCAATGTCTATGAGCAAGAGCTAGAAAAGGCCGAGAATGGATATTTCGAGGCACGTGCGGCACTGCAGTGCAAAATAGATTTACTGGCACCATCCCCGGCACCAGTAAGTGCGCCAGAAAATATGCAGGTGGAGCTACAGTATCCACAGCGGCAAATGGACTTAAAGAATAACTGGGGCGAATTCGATGGTTCGCTGACCAAGTGGAAGGGCTTCCATGATCGCTTCAAAGCCGCTGTGCATGATAATGAGCAGGTTGCGCCAGCATTTAAGTTTGCATATTTGCAAAAGTCGTTGGTGGGCAAGGCTGCACGTACTTTGGGTGAGTGGCAGCTGACCGACGAAAACTATAATGAAGCATGGGAACGCTTAATTCAGCTCTATGACAAGAAGTATCACACATGTCGTGAGTATTTGCGCCAGTTTTATAGGTTGCTGTTTTTGGAGCGTGCATCTTCGGATGCACTTCAACGCATGTCAAACGTGACGCACGAGACATTGCGTCAGTTGCACGCGCAAGGCTTGCCCATAGAGCATTGGGACATGCTCGTAGTGCATAATTTGCACGAAAGACTTCAGCGGCAGTCTGAAACCCCAACAGCAGTTGAGATGCTAGCGTTTCTCGACAAACAGGCCGCTGCATCTTCGCATCAAGTAGAGAACCGTCGTGCGCGAGAGAGCAGTGTGGCATCATCGGCTGTTCGGGCTGAACAGATAAAGAGGCGTCAGCAAGATGCAAATCAGAGAGCAAGTAAGGTCAGAGCTAGTGTGCAGAAGAGCGACGGAGGAGCAAAGAAGACTTCTCCATGCCACTTATGTCGAGGTGATCATGGGTTGTATAAGTGCCCAGACTTCCTGAATCTACGGGCACGTAAGACATATGTAGAGAAGCACAATTTATGTCCAAACTGCTTCAAGCAAGGACTTCAGTAAAAGACTGCTATTCTGGGCCGTGCAGTAGATGTCCAGGCAAGATATTTCATAATAGTGTTCTGTGCCCAACTAGGGAGGTGAACAAGCACTTGCTGATAGTGCAAGACCCAGTTGAGCAAGTAAGGGCTAGTGGTTCATCCAAACGAGAGCAAAAACGTAGGAGCGCAGATGTCAACACAACAATTTGACAATCAAAAAGGAGCAGGAAGGAGCTAGATACATCGACTGAGGTAATAGAACTTGATATATCAGAGCAGGTTAATAAACGGCCAGATGTTTGTACACCTTATAAGCATGTTTTTAGTTACCAGGGCGGGGACCAGCAGGTCAGTGGCAGTTATGAATCGGGCAGGGAGTCGGTACCCAGGTACTGGCATTTAAACCTTTACCTAGCATAAGGCAAAGTGTAGTATTGTTGCCTACCGCCTTGGTTCGGTTAGAGATAGATAATGTTAATATTGGACCTTTTTGTGCTTTGCTGGATACCGGTGCACAACCAAATCTTATTTTGGATAAGATTATCAGAGCTTATCAATTATCAGTGGCCAGTGTGACCAGATATATGGTTGGTATAGATGGTCAGCCGTTCCTAGTTAGGAAAAAAATAAATGCTAGGGTTAGACCATGGTATGAGTCTGATGAATACATTGAGGCAGAATTTCGGGTACTGCCAGGGCAAAGCCAGCTGAAGCTAGTAGTGCCGCCTGACTCGATGAGTTTGTGTAGAATGGCGAATCCAACAAAGGTGCCTTTTGCGAATCCTAATTATTGGGAGCCTAACAATGTGCAGTTGGTCCTAGGCGTGCAGGTATTCGCAAGGTGCCTAATCGGGCAAGTGGCTAGAACCTTAGATAATACTACAATGATAGAAACCACACTTGGTATTGTAGTACTTGGCCCATACTTTGACCAGGTAGACTATGCCATCGGGTCAGCTGTTTCTGCCATAAGCTGCGAGAGTATGGACGAGCTAGGGAAGATAGTGCAGCGTTTGTGGGAAATGGACCACATTCCTGATCTTCCTGTTCGAATGGTAGAGCAAGAAATGGTAGAGAAAATGTTTATGGAAACTTACTTTCGGGATAAGTCAGGGCGCTTTGTCGTGACAATACCGATACGCAGTGCTAGTAGATTGGGCAGTTCGCGTGAGAGTGCATTGAAGCAATTTTTTTTATTTGGAGAAGAGATTAGCTAGAGATCCTGAAGTCGGTCGTAAATACATTGATTTCATGCGTGAGTATGAGCAACTCGGTCACATGAAGGAAGCTAACCATGATCCTTTGCGCGGTGAGCTAGTATATTATATTCCGCATCATTGTGTGCATAAAAAGTTCCGCGTTGTTTTTAACGCTAGTTGCAAGACGGAATCAGGGGTTTCTTTGAAGGAAATTCAAATGCTCGGAGAGAAATTACAGCGTGATCTCGCCGAAATTATAATGAGGTTTAGGCGTCGCAGAATTTGCATCAGCTGTGATGTAAAGATGATGTTTAGGCAGGTGCGCATCATTGAGAGCCAGTACGATCTCCAACGGATATTTTGGCGCGAGAGTCCGAGGGATAGATTAAGAGAATACTGCTTAACAGTAGTCACATATGGTATGACGGCATCAGCATATTTAGCCGTACGATGTTTAATACAGGCAGCTAGAGAGCAAATGGAATATTTTCCATCAGCAGCTAGAGCCATAATAGATGATTTCTACATGGATGACGGTATCACAGGCGCCAGTAATGAAGATAAAGCAATAAAATTGGCTAAAGAGATGAAGTTTGCGCTAGGCGGTGCGGGTATGAAATTGTGCAAGTGGAAGTCAAACAGTAAGGCGCTTGCAAGTGTTCTCCAGTCAGGGGAACCGAGTGCATTATTGCTAACAGAAGATGATAATGCATCTGTGCTTGGTTTACAATGGATGACTGACGAGGATGAATTCACGTTTGTCGTGAAGGTGCCAGTAGTGCCTGCGGTTATTACTAAGCGAATCATCCTAAGCTGTGTTGCGCAATTGTATGACCCTAATGGTTATATCACACCCGTTACATTCATTGGGAAGATTATAGTGCAAGATTTATAGCGTTTGAGTGTAGGCTGGGATGAAGAAGTTCCTCAAGATTTTAGAGATAGATGGCTAGGATTTTGGCAAGACATTACTGCGCTAGAAACTTTTAGGCTACCTCGATTCATTGTGGTGGCAAGCAATACAAATATTCAGCTGCATGGCTTTGCGGATGCATCCGAAAAGGGCTTCGGGGCGGTTATTTATGTGCGAGTAGAGAGCAAATTGGGCACGATTACATCCGAGCTACTGATTTCAAAGGCTAGAGTCGCCCCACTGAGGACGATTACCATTCCTAAGATTGAGCTTGCTGCTGCTGAGCTTTTGGCTAGGCTATATTCAAGTGTGGTGCGGAGCATGGAATGGCAGACAGTTGATTATGTGATGTGGACAGATTCAACGATAGTTTTGCATTGGTTGCGCAAGTTGCCATGCCAACTTAAGGTTTATGTAGCAAATCAGGTGGCATCGGTACAAGCTAATACCGACATAAACAAATGGCGCCACGTCGGGACGAGTAACAATCCAGCTGACCTTCTGACAAGAGGTGTAAGCGCTAGTGGGATAGTGGGTAATGATTTATGGTTGCATGGGCCTAGCTGGCTTAGGAGATCGGGAGCAGAGTGGCCAGAAGATAGATTTCTGCGTAAGGAGGTACCTGAGGGTGCAAGGGCGGAGCTGAAAGTACATGCTGTGGCTATGACAGTAGCAACATGGAGCATCAAAAAGAGTGCTAGAAATTCCGCTGGTGCAGTGCGCTCGTTCATTGGATAGATTGATCGGAATCATGGCACAAGTGCTAAGATTTATCCGTTTGTTGAGAGCTAAGGGGAGTCAGCGGCTTCGGAAATCAGACCGTAAAAGCTTTAATATTCCCGTGCCTAGTGCAGAGGAAAGAGCTAGGGCATTGGAGCTAATTCTGAAAGAAGCACAAGATCTGGCGTACTCCAATGAAATACGTGCATTGCGGAAGAAAACATCCTTACCTGAAGGAAGCAAGCTTGAATCGCTAAAGCCAATGCTGGACGGGAAGGGACTTTTGCGTGTGGGAGGTAGAATCGGAAGGGCAGAGTGCGATTACGAAATG